AACGACATAACTCGTAATTTCCACAAATCTATTCATTATTTTCTGTCTTAAAATATACGCGATTTAGAGATAAATCTAAGAGGGGGTATAATTAGTTTAATTACTGTATAACAATTTAAATATCTACATATCTATTTGCAAGTGGGTTTAAAAAGTAGGTGGTTTAAAAAGTGTGAATAGGTAGATGACACCGGTTGGGTTTGAAGATATCAGTAGAGTATACATGTATGTACATGTACTCTCATAATTGTTTAAACTGATAAAACATTACGTATGTATTGAGCACTGTGTACTTAATGTTTGTACAAGACAAGAAGTTGCCGAATACATCTAATCAAGCGTTTATTTTAATAACCTTGATCTATTATCGGTGCTTTTAAAAATCTCTTATTTGGAAAGACAAGGTGTTTAAAACGCAAGTCCTAAAGACAGTAAGGTATGTATAGCTTTATTTTCATACGTATATAACACTTAAACAATTAAAACTTTATGTTTCATCAGATTGACAGATTTATATGTACATTTAGTGTATAAAGTTAAATCTTTTTCAAGAGTTCTGCAATTGGAATAACACAAAAATTGACTAAAATTCAAGAAAAGGTATCTATGGAAAATACATGCACAACTTTTGTTCGCAAGGCTTGCAAACTTCTCAAGTGCACAATTTCCAACCAAAGATACAAAGTAATGAAATACTGGAGAAGTATGTATATAAAAACTTGGAGATTGTGTGTATGGGAATTTGGGAAACATGCCAGATTTCTTGAACTGAGCTTGCATGCTATTTTTTCAAAGGTTTCATCAAAGGTCAACATGTCCAATTTTTTTTTACAATAGCTCCAAAACTACGTGGTTTATAAAGTTGAAACTTACAGCTTATAAATAATCATATCATTGATAGAAAGTACCACTTGATAACAAATACTGAATGAAATATTTATCGAGAAAGAAATCTTTTTAAAAAATGCCTATATTATAAAAAATACACTTAATTAATACCGTATTTTAGTAAAGGCCATGATTGCAGAAAAAAGTCTATGTTAATAACCGAAGGGGAATTTGGACTTTGATAGCCTCTGAAAAGTTGTTTTCCCTGTTTATTTTGTCCAAATGTTTAGAAGTGAAACCGAAAGTACATTGTAAATTGCGGATTTTTATAGGGGTCTTGTCGTAATACATGCCATGCTTTCAATAAGAGCCTTTAAAAGATCATTCACGTCCAACTTGTTCTTCAATGATAACACATTATTTCTGCAATGATGGTTTTCGCTAAATGTACATAATAAAGCAGATGCTTTTTAAAATAAGTATTTTAAAAATATTTTTTTTCTCAATAAATACATGTACTTTTTCAAATATTTGTTTCCAAGTGATACTTTCTATCTGTTAAACAATGATATACTTATAAACAATAAAAGTTTTAACGTTATATCTCACATTGTTTTGGAGCTATTTTGGACATGTTGACCTCTCATGAAACCTTTATTGCTTCGGTGTAGCTGATCCGACAAAAGAAAATGAAACAACATCTGAGTATTGTCGATCCCTACCCGGGCGATCAATATATATTTTATAAGGAAATTAAGCCAATGAACAGATAATTTGAAGTTGGATAAAAATTCCGTATGTGACTGTAATCCGAACAAGGTTTTTCCCCCCTGATTTTCTTCTCCTTACGCTTCCTGACTTTTGAGAATTTAAGAGAGTAATAAAAACTTGAACTAAATAAATTTGCAGAAGCTTCTTTAAAAAAAGAGGCCTTGGGTCCAATTTTTTTATGAACACGCGCATCATGTTAAATTCTCTGATTTCAGCTCATTTCTCGTCCAGGGCTTATAATTAAAATAAATATTTTTCACAATTTACTTAGATATGCTAGGTTGTAACTCTTTTAAAAGATTTTTTCCTTTGCTCTCTAGTGTAAATCCCTGATCACCTAGCTTTCACAGTTTCAATCCATTTCTGACCTAAACAAATGACAAGGGTAGAGATAATGAACAAGAATCGACCTCAGAAAAATATATAAACAATATATGCAAAAATGTTAAGAAGGCATAACCATGGACCCCTGACAATTCAAGAGGTGGGATGAAGTGCCTAAAAGGAGTGAGCATCCCCTGTCGACCAGTCACACTCGCCGTGAGCCCTGTGTATATAGATAGAGCATTCCATTGCTTTGAAACAAGTCAGCCAAAACAACACCCAATGTTTTATTAGCAAAGTCATTTTAGCAACGACAGAAATTACGAAATGCTGACTTTGAAGGCGATGTTAATATTCATGTAACATCGTAACATCAACTTATCTATCTGTAGTCGGCTTTGATTTAGAAACTGTTCGTACTTAGTGACTGCTCTTTAGTATCGAATATGTTGAGAGATGTTAGCACCATATATACATGTATAAATAATTAAATATCATTATGTAAATAAAAAAAGCTGACGATGGGAAAGTGGAAATCATCTCCATCTCGTTTGTCAAGGTTGTTTCACTTTGCATATCAATCTGGCTTATCGTGGATTTGCTGTTCTTCACGGTTTTTAATGATACGTCCTTGTATCCTTATATATAACTTTAATTGCCCATTGTTGTCCCACCAAATCCCATATGGGTTAGCATTTCAAAAAAAAAAAAAAAAAAAAACGAAACTAGAGGTACTATGAGCAATACTATGAGTTACTATGAGCAATGAGCTCACTAAAGGATATTTTTCGCCTCCCATATGGTTATAATGCCAAAGTCCATGTATTGCTCTGGGAGACCCGAAGTAAGTGTCAGATCCAAAAGTAAAACAGGAGGTCACAATGGCATTATGTAATAAGGAAGTTTCATAAAATTTTATTCAGTTGTAGAGGTTGAGTTGCGGATAAGAGATAGATACCCTTCAATATTATAAAAAGAATGGGCGTGTCATGTTTCCTCCGGGAAACTCAAAAAGTGTGAACGAGGTACACAATGGCAAAATGTTATAGACTTTTTTAGTCTCATTTGATTTCATTCAATGGTAAAGGAGGAATTGCGGATAAGAGATGGATACCCGAAAGTGTAACAGACGGACGGACAAACGAACAGGCATCCCGATCACTATATTCCCTCCCGCTTTTCAAGCGGAGGTATAATAAGTAAATAAAATAAAGATAAACTGTGAGCACTGAGCTCGCTAAATGATATTCTTTGCCTCTCACGTGGTTATAATGGCATGTTTTGCTCTAGGAGACCAGAAATAAGTGTCAGATTGAAAAGTAAAACTAGAGGTACTGTGAACAATGAGCTCACTAAATGATACCCCCTGACTCCAATATAAATAAAATGGCAGTGTCCATGTTTTGCTATGGAACGCCCAAAAAATGTGAAAACAACAAGTAAAATAGAGTGTGGACAATGAAATTATGTAATATAGATTCCCTGAGTCTCATCAAGTTTCATTCAGTGGTACAAGATAAGACCACTGATTGAAATTCATAATGATACGTTCACAGATTCTTTATAACAACTATCATTAATAAATGCATTAGAATCAAATCAAAAATTAATTAAGACAAAATAAACATTGTTCCTGGTACAATAATTTGAGAAAAAATAATCCAAGTTCGTAAAGGAAATAAAAATATATGTTAATCGTTATTTCAAATAAGTTGATATATAATATATAAACTATTGGGCGAAACTTTTATAGGGCGAACAAGATTTTGGGCGAAGAAATTTTTGGGCGAACGGACCCTGCGCGAACGGACTCCCGCGAACAGGTAGAACGGGCGAACGAACCCGAACGAACAAAGTCAATCTTCTCCACGGATAGCGCTCAATCAGGGCATCAATAATGATATTGTTATTAATTATATTTAGTGCATGTAAATAGGGATTTACAACCGACTGTCTCGAAAATGTTCATTGATCATGTTGATCAGCTAGCATGATCAGCCCGATCTTCGACATTTATAAAATATAATCGCTTTGATCAAGTTATATCGAAATTATTTTGAGAGATAAAAAATGAATGTTCAAGTACATGTATATTACGTTGTATTATTGTCTGAATTATTGTTTTTGGAATAAGTATACTAACATTCGCAGGTTATTTTTAAAAATAAATCGTACAAATATATTGACCAATCAAAAAAGGGTTTTCCCTAAGAATTTCAAGTCGTATGTAAACTTCCGGCCCCCCTTTGGCGATTTCTCTGATTGTTGAAGCAGTAGATCGAGTTTGACGAGGGATTTTTAATATTTGCAAATATGAGGCGCCCTTCTGGTTGCACTGTCCGTAAGTTTAGACCTCGAAAGACTGGCCACAGAAAGAATATGGTTGCAGAGAATTTATTTGACGGAGTTTCAGACAAAAATACAAGAGGATGTGACAGACCTAGAAAAATTCAAGATGGCGCCGTTGGGGACCTTGTTTATTATTAGGTATGTGTTTATTTTTTTATTAAAAGAAAAATAAGTAACGTCAGGTGCCTGTGTTATAATCATATATCAATTAGTTAGCTCGTTGCTTACAAAGGTCCTCTTACAGTACCTCTAGTTTGAATCTTCACTTGTGGATGTTTTGTGGCAAGTTTATCTAGAATGAATTCGGTGCTGATAAGAAATCAAAACTGAAAAAGTTGATTGTTGCATTGAGACACTCTGAGAGAGAAAGTTAATAGTAGTCTCAAATGAGCTAAAAGCAATAATATTTTAAAATAATTATATCCGTGCTTGAAATTGTGATCGGGATGTCCGTTCGTCAGTCCGAACTCCTATACCACAGTATAAAATTTAATGATACTTTCATAGATCCTTTATTGCATAAATTTTGATCTGAATCTTTTTTTGCATGTACCGTTTGTCTTTCGCGAGATCTTACCTAAGCGAGAAAAACGTATGTTTTGATTAACCAGACAGCATTTTCACGAATTCTTGCTATTATGTTATATAATATTTACTATTGGAAAAAAATACACAAGAATGATTGGAAACAGAAATCTCGCTTAATTAAAAATAAATCCAAATATTACCTCTGACGACTGATTTCCAGCTAAACATGCCTTGTAACGAAACAGCCTGCAACAGAAAATGAACATACAAGTTTTAGCATTTTTGAACACAGGTTAATAAATAGGTTCTTTGTAGTGCTGTAGTGTGAAAAAAGGGTATATCATAAACGTATGTAAAAAAAAAAAGTAACCTCGCCCAAACGAGAAAAACCTCTTTCGGGAAGGGGTGGGGGCGGTAGTTGTTGACTTCTGATTCTTCATACCTATGATTTTTCATACCAACTATATGCAAGGCAGATCCGCGTTTCGCAGAGGGGGTTGTTTTCAAGGACAGAGAGAGAGAGCGATTATAGTCTGATTTTTGGTTTGGATTGTAGCGGTAATGACTATGAAGCGGTAATGAAAATTTCGAAAATGTAGCGGTAATGATCGGTCGAAATTTAAAAAAAAAATGTAGCGGTAATGAGTTGAAATTTTTGGCAATGTAGCGGTAATGTTGACCTCCCTACCTGGATTTACCTGTGAATACCTGATTTAGCTTAATGTATTCTTAAGAGGTTTAATACAATTTTATAGGCATTTAATTAAAATTCTATATATATTTACGGGACAGTATTTGATTTTATTGAATATTTTATTAACTAATTTATTGATATTTATGTTATATCATTTATTAATTAAGTCGAATTTCTTAAAAAAAGAATCAATACTTTTCAATTTTGATAGAATACTAAATGAATTAAAGAATATAAAAAATAATAAAGAAAATAGAGAATAAAAAGTAATTTGAAAAATAATGCCCAAGCCAAGAAGATGTTAAGATCATCAGATAATTATAAGAGCAAAGTGACAATCGAGTCATCCATGATTTATGCTGATCCAAGCTGGTAAAATTCTAATTATTATAATTTTGTGTCGATTATTATATTAATCTATGTTTTATCATCAAAGTGAATATATATTCAGTTGTATCAACATTTTGAGTTATAAAAGAGAGGAGCCCCGTGGGGATCCGGGTTAGAATAGGTCCTCAGTACCCCCTTGCTTGTCGTAAAAGGCGAATGAATGGGGCGGTCCTTCGGATGAGACCGTATAAACCGAGGCCCCGTGTCACAGCAGGTGTGGCACGATAAAGGTCCCTCCCTGCTCAAAGGCCGTAAGTGCCGAGCATAGGCCTAAATTTGCAGCCCTTCATTGGCAATGGTGACGTCTCCATATCAGTGAAATATTCTGGAGAGGGACGTTAAACAGTATACAATCAATCAATCAATATAAAAGAGAGGAAAAAAATCAGTTATTACATTCATCAATGGTTATCAGTACATTGTAAAGATATATGATTTTCTCACAAAATATTGAATCACAATAAATAAATTAAGAAATTACATCACAAATCACGCTTCCCTTCCCTTAGTGCCCATCAACACTGTACATGATGTGTGGTTCAACATCTATGAGGAAGCAGAGGTGATCAACGCAGACATCACAAGATTCATATCTATATGACAGAGCAGTGGATTGAGGGGATAGACAAACAGTTTTGGAACCACTTTGACAACAACGGACCTAGGACTAACAACATTTTAGAAGGATGGCACTCCCAAGATGAACAAACAACTCAACGCACCACATCCCAACATCTACAGGTTGATTACACTTCTTTACAATGTCAAGGCCAACAACGAAATCGACATCATCCAGACAGCAGTGGGAGCCAAAAAGAGACCCCGGGAAGTGAGGTATCGGCGCATCGACCACCGACTGACACAACTAAAGAGAAGATTCATCGATGGAGAGATAGACATCATGCACTATTTGGACGCTGTCTTACATCTCCACCTTGGTTAGGTGATAGAATACTGGAACATTTTATGTGATGACAGATAAGACATTAAGTGTGCATATAGTAAGCAGTTTATCCAAAAAATAATTGTGTGATTGTATGTATCAATTGTATTATACTCATGAACATGATGAAATAAATCAATGTGTCAATTGTATTATGCTCATGAAATATATCAATAAATAAAAATATTAAACACATTATCTTTGTATTTATTCTCTTATTTTTTCACTATAAGTTCACCTTTCACCTACTTACTAAGTATGGTATTTAGACTATAGCAATTAAGTAATTATCTCTCCTGGTTAAATTCCCGTTTTGCACACATTTTTTAATTACATGTAATTCAAATGTGTGCAAAACGGGAACAAACCGTCTTGATCATTAGGGCTAAATATGAAACTGAAACTGAATTTCTTTTACCTTCCGGCATTAAAGGAAACAAAACTAAATACACATCATCCGTGCACAAAGGCTTCAACATTACAATCTAAGGTTATGACTATATAAAAAAAATGATGGAATAAGAAAAAATAAATCTGATAAATGTAAATACATCATGCTGTGAAGTATTATGATAGCTTTGTAAAGAAGAAATGAAAGTAGACATTTTCATATCAATTCATTATAATTAAGTCGATTTCTTCCTCCCGTATCCCTCGAGGACAACAATCGCGCTAAAACTTTTTGAATAACCTTTTTTAAAGATATAAGTAATACCTTATACCCCTAATGACACTCTGAAAAAGTAACCAACTTACCATTGATTAGGTCAGCTTTCCTGAAAAATATGGCAGAACGAATTTGCAAAATGTGCATATTTGTTTGAATTACAGTATATTGTAAATGTATATTGTGTCAATTAATTGGTAAATTATTTTATTACATACTTTTAAAAATGTAATATATTTTATTTACAGGTATGTAAGACTAATATTTTCATCATTATTTGCTTGGTTGAGAAATTTAAGAAATATTTTATGTTACAGGATGACCCTCACTGGAAACCGTACATACCTGTAAATTGATAAAAAGGCGCCATGCTGTATCCTTAAATCATCTTTTTTTGCAATGAGAGGAAGAAAATACATTTTTTAAATTTTACTTACAAATTTGATTTTCAATAAATTAAGTAATTTAATTGAGAGAGAAGTTTTTCTTTAAAGGAAATAACTTAGATCTATTTAGATCATTTTGCATATCACGGGTTCTCTGCCCTTAATTCTAGGCACCGTGTACTTCATGGACTGGAGTTATGGAGTGGAATTTGGAGACATATGGAGTCAAATGATAAAAAATGTGTTCAGAAAAAATGGCTAAAGTATGTTTGCAGTATTGTTGGATCTTTTTCGTCTTGTAACCAAACAGATTGGCAATCATAAGTACAGAATGTCCTAATTAAAATTTGTTACTTAAACTTACTTTATATATAATTGAAATATGCTATTAAACAAAAGTCTTACAATGTTGAGATAGTTTGAGTGACAAGGATCACTTTAAATTTAGTGATAAAAATTTGCAGTTGAGGCCATCATTAAAAAAGTTATAGCATGAGTAATTAGAAGGACATATGCAAAAGATGAATCGATTAAAGTCCGATGGATTGATTGACTGTTATAGAAAGAAAGTAATTTTTTTTGAATTGCTTTGAAATCAAACTATAACATTTGACTTATCAAATAAAGCTTACACAGTCTAATCGCTCTATCTTTTCGGGTATTTCCGGCAAGCAGAAAAACAACAGTAACAGCGGAATTAAAATATGATCCCCTTTTTCATAAACTGAAATAAATGTAGGGAAACCTCTTACCTGTAAAGTAAGAAACTAAACTTCTGGGGCCAACTTTAAATAATGCTTCTTTACAGTTGAAAGATAGGATCATGATGTTGGAAAAACAGTTGAAAGAATTAAATGAAATAGCTGCCACAGCAATCAAAATGGCAAATATGAATCAACAATACTCCTAGAAAAACAATAATTCGATTTTAAAATTCTGAATTGGTCAGAACAGTAGGAACAGAAGTTAACGGAGGAGTTATGTGATCGGATGGCTGAAAAAGCATTGGATACAAAAGACATTCTGGTAATTCACAGAACTGCATCAAATGACAACAATCATCCAAGACCTGTCATTGTAAAATTTATCAGTGGTGAGGTCAGTGATCGTAAAGAGAGAACAACTAAAAGAAGATATTTTAATGTTGGATCACACACAGGAGACTGAAGTTTTTATCGTAAAAAATCCGGGAAAATATCCTACCCTCAACTAAAACGTGATTTTTTAGTTGAGGGTAGGATTTTTCCCCAGATTTCTTTACGATAAAAACTAGGGACTCTTGTGGATCACATAGCAACAAAAATGCGCAGCTGCTGAGAAAACTGAGGGCGGAGGAGACATGCAACAACATATGGTAAACAGCGCATGGGACTGTAATGGACATATCTTTGTGTATGACACAAATGGGAGAAGACACACGTTGGATGTAATGGATGATTGGTTGATTGATTGTATATTGTTTATTGTCCCTCTCGAGAATTTTTCAATCATATGGAGACGTCACCGTATGCCGGTGAAGGGCTTCAAATTTAGACCTAAACGTACTCGGCACTCAGGGCCATTGAGCAGTGAGGGTTCTTTATCGTGTCAGCGCGTACCGTGACACGGGGCATACGTTTTTAAGGTAATATCCGAAAGACCCGTGACTTTCAGTTCTGATGCCGAGCGCTTGGCGAAGGAACAGTCGCTACCTATTTTTACGTATTAGGTTTGAAGTGGCGCCGGGAACGAGAATCGAACCCGGGCCTCCCGATCACGAAGCGAACGCTCTACCAGATGTAATGGATGACATTGAAAGAAAACTTGGAATATAACCATTTACTTTGAAATATCCAAAAACTGGAGGAGCTTGAAGGACAAGGATGGCATTAATTTTATGTGGTTTTCTATGTTCGAGTTTGTGTGTGTATGTGTGTGTGTAACTAACTATAAAAAGAGTGCTGACACTTTATCCGATGTTTTCAATTTAAAGCTTTTAAATTTGTCCGATTTTTTTTCAATGGATTTAGAATGTAAAAACTATCTATGTATACACAAGTCAAAGGTTGAAAACTTAAACATTTTAAGTATGAATTTTAGAGGTTTTCATAAAATTGTCAAATACATAGGTATGCTTTTTTAAATCTGGGTAAGAAATAAGAATGTTTATTTTGTATGTTTTCAAGAAACTCGTAGTACAGAAGAGGT